GAGTACAAGACGGGGCCGGGCCGGTTCTTGGGCGCTGCTTCACAGGCCCCCCCCCCCCCGTGCCAGGGTGAAGGGCGGCAGCCTCTGCACGGGGCCATTTTGTCCGGCTGGTCCACGTGGGTGTCGTGTCATTCCACCCTTGCCCGTGTCCATTGTGGCTCACCACCCTCCTCTCCTGTGTCACCTGGCACCCTCTCCACGGCTCCCCCTCCCACTCCACGTCCACCTCGGTGCCCCCCCTTCCCCCGGGACCCCTCCATTTCAGGCGCTCTGCTTCCATCTCACCCACCCCAAGGACCACTCATCATCACCCCCAGTCCGTCCGCTGCCAGCCGGATAGCCAGGCAGGCTGCCGCCGCCGCTGCCTCCTCAGGTATTGCCCCGGTCCCCACCGGGTGGGGTGGGGGTGGGGGTGGCCTTCCCTGTAGGGTCCCTGGGGGGGTGGGGTGGGGGGAGTCTCCAGCTGGTCCGGCTTTCTCGATCCCCTCCTCCGGGGAGAGCAGTTGGGCCGGGGGCAGCGCGCTGACCAGATCGGGGGCACCCTCCCCTCCCCCCGGTGCATTGCAGGCTCCAGTTTGCACCAGGCGCACCCCAACCCGGCCCTGACTGGGGGGGAGGAGGCCACGCGAGGGATCGCCGTGGAGAAGTTCGACAGCGTCAAGAAGTGGGGCATCAACACCTACAAGCCAGGGAAGAGCCTCTGCTGGGCATGCAGGAGGTCCCGGGTTCAGTCCCCAGCGGCAGCAGCATCTCCAGTTAAGAAAGGAGCAGGCAGGAGGGGATGGGGAAGACCTTTCTCTGCCTGAGACCCCCTGGAGAGCTGCTGTCCCTGATGGGCAAAGGGTGTGTGTGTTCAGTCTAGGGCAGCTTTCCGTGCCCACGTTTCCCTTGGCTGGTTTAGGAGACCTTCTTAAGAGTGTGTCGTCCCCCCCCCCGCTCTCTCCTTCCCCGCAGGACCTGCAGCAAGTGATGGTCTCGGGGCCCAACCTGAACGAGACCAGCATCGTGTCTGGGGGCTATGGGGGCACGGCGGAGGGCATCATCCCGACCAGCTCCATCCAAGGTCAGAGTCCGGGTGGACAGCGGGGTTGGCGCCCCCTGCACAAGCCGCCAGAAGATCTCCCTCGACTCGCTGGCGTGGCCCCCCTTGGCCGGCGTCTCTCCCGGCACCGTGGTCCAGGGCAGGCAGCTCCTGGCAAGCTCAGACTGGGCCCCTGTAGCCACACCCCCCCCGTCCCGAGGGGGCTAGGCCAGGGAGTACAAGACGGGGCCGTGCCGGGTCTTGGGCGCTGCTTCACAGGCGCCCCCCCCCCCGTGCCAGGGTGAAGGGCGGCAGCCTCTGCACGGGGCCATTTTGTCCGGCTGGTCCACGTGGGTGTCGTGTCATTCCACCCTTGCCCGTGTCCATTGTGGCTCACCACCCTCCTCTCCTGTGTCACCTGGCACCCTCTCCACGGCTCCCCCTCCCACTCCACGTCCACCTCGGTGCCCACCCTTCCCCCGGGACCCCTCCATTTCAGGCGCTCTGCTTCCATCTCACCCACCCCAAGGACCACTCATCATCACCCCCAGTCCGTCCGCTGCCAGCCGGATAGCCAGGCAGGCTGCCGCCGCCGCCTCCTCCTCAGGTATTGCCCCGGTCCCCACCGGGTGGGGTGGGGGTGGGCTTCCCTGTAGGGTCCCTGGGGAAATCCAGCTGCAAAGTGCACTGAAAGTGGATTGAAAGTGCGTTATTTGGTGTGTTGGAAATCAAACCAGCTGGATCCAGGATAATTGCTAAATGCAGAATAAATCATAGTGCTGTGAAGAAGTCTAACTGACAATTTTCAAACATCTACAAAAACACGCGTTTTCATTTCTGACATGTTTCCCTTATAAATCCCTCCCTCCACAGAAATCATTCCCAAAGTGGAAGAAAATGGCCAGGTAAGAAAATCTGTAGGGAGGTGGATACTGGGAAGGGGGGAGAGAGAGAGAGAGCGATCCTCCACTGACTTTTCCCTCTGTTGTCTGCTGTTTTACCAAAGGTGCAGTTCAAAACCACATTCAAATACCTCGGGGCAACGCTGTACTGACGGCAAAGTCACCCTTGAATGGCCATAAATCTATGCAGAAGGTACCATAAAACCCGATGATCAAAGAAGGCGAAAGCGGCATGCAATGCAGAGGGAATTTCTGTTCCAACCTGCTCCAACGGAGGGGAAAGCCAGTGCAGAATCACCCCCTAGAGAGACCCCGTATCTGCTCTCTTTCCCCATCTCTGCCTGCAGAACAGTGGCAGGCCATGACGGGACACGGGACATCCAGTCCCATGACAGCTGTAATGTCAGGAACCACAACCTGGCCCGTGTGAAGTCTCTCCTTTACTTTGGTGGTCTGTAAAACATGGGACTGGATGCTGTTCTAGGTTTGGACCCTGGTCTGCCAACTGCGTGTCCGTGCCACAGATGTTCATCTCTCTGTGCCGGCCTCCCTTCCCCACAGCAGCAGCAGCAGCAGCAGCAGCGACTGAGCTGGCTTCCGTGAGGGCCTGGGTGGCGCATAGCCAGTGAGGCGGTGCTCGCTCCTGACTGTGCGGCTGGGCTTGCCGAGGGCGCCTGGGGAGAACGGGAATCCGAGGGCATTTCTATTACTCCCCTCCCCCCCCACCCCCGGGGAGTGATTCACGCCAACATCTTCTTTCCGCGGCACACACAAAAAATGAGTGCCTTGTCTTCTCTTTAGAAGAGCTCAGTGCTTAAGACGTTTTGTGGCTGAAACAAGGAACGCAACAAGTTTTTGGCTGTTGCCAGCGAGGGACACGCAGAGCTCTGCTTCAAAACAGTCACACCTTTTGCACATCCACAGCCAGTTTGGCGTCGTGGTTAAAGTGCAGGCGGACTCTAATCTGGGAGAGCCGGGTTTGATTCCCCCACTCAGTCACTCGCAGCTACTGGATGACCTTGGGCCAGCCGTAGTCCTGTTGGAGCTGTTCTCTCAAGGACCGTCCTCGCAAGAGCTCTCTCAGCCCCATGATCTTGTCCCGTGACGGCCAAGCGTAGGTGATGTCTAACAGATCAGCCTTCTCCCCATGCCAGCTCACTTGCTCAGGGAGCTCCCAAGGGGCTGGTGAGGCAGGAGTCCGCCTTGCAGAAGCCAGGCTGGTTTTCCATCCTCAGGCTCCTTCTCTTTCATGAGAGTTTCTAGTCATCCGGCCTTGAGGCTGATTTCAGCAATAAGTTGCGGATACTTTTAGCCTGCGTTTGCCTCACCAGAAATGGGGCTTTTTTCTGTTCCCCTCCATTGGAGGGGGAGGGGCCTCCTGCATTCGAAAAGAAGCGTTTTGCCTTCTCCTCTGAGACTTGGTGGGACCTTTCCTGATTTGAAGCCTGCCTTCTCTCAGGGTCTCACTCAGCATAGTTTTAAAGTGTTCCCAAGCATCCTGGAGGGATTCGACTCTGGCTTTTAATTTCTTTCTGACCAGTTCCCTCTTTTGGAATCAAAAGTGTTTGTTCAGGATTCTGGGGACCACTTGGTTGGTGAGAATGCTGCTGCTGCTGCTGCTGCTGCTGCTAATAATAATAATAATAATAATAATGATAATGATAATGATAATAATATGATTTGTTAATCGCCCTATCCCAGGTTACGCTGCGCTCTGGGCGATGTACAAGGGGGCATAATGTCATAGAAATATACAAAACATTAAAATTCAATATACAGTTTGATAAAAACTAGGAAACCAGACTAAAAGATCCAAGATGGTGTCCTGTAAATTTTCTAACCCGATTCTGGGCTACCTCATAGAATCATAGAACGTTATGGTTGGAAGGGACCTTGCAGGTCATTTAGGGGGGCATAATGTCATAGAAATATACAAAACATTAAAATTCAATATACAGTTTGATAAAAACTAGGAAACCAGACTAAAAGATCCAAGATGGTGTCCTGTAAATTTTCTAACCCGATTCTGGGCTACCTCATAGAATCATAGAACGTTATGGTTGGAAGGGACCTTGCAGGTCATTTAGTCCAACCCCCTGCCCTACATACCTACAACATACCCGAAAGATGGTCGTCCAGCCTCCTCTGCTTGAAAACGTCCAGCGAAGGAGCCTCCACCACCTCCCGAGGCAGACTGTTCCCCTGCTCAACCACTCTCTTACAGTTAGGAAGTTTCTCCTGATATTTAGCCAGTAACGACTCCCTTGTCATTTCCACCCATTAGATCTAGTCTTGCAATCCGGAGCAAGAGAGAATAGATCTGCTCCATCTGCCCTTCAGATACTTGAAGACTGCAATCGTGTCCCCTCTCAGCCTTCTCTTTCCCAGGCTAAACACGCCCAACTCTCTCAGCCTTTCCTCAGGAGACTTGGATTCCAACCCTCTCACCCTCCTGGTTGCCCTCTTCTGGACAAGCTCGAGCTTGTCAACATCCTTCCTAAAATGTGGTGGCCAAAACTGGACACAGGACTCCGGGTGAGGCCCCTGACCATAGCGGAATAGAGCGGAACCACCACCTCCCATGATCTGGACACAAGGCTTCTGTTCATGCATCCTAAAATCGCATTAGCTTTCTTCGCAGCCACATCGCACTGCTGGCTCATGTTTAGCTTGTGATCAACCAGAACACAACCAGCTGCAGCCTGCTTTGCGGAGCCGTTCCCTCTGACAACTGCGCTCACCGCTGGGCCTTGCCACTCGTCTCCGGAACCCCAGACCACGGCAGACTCTCCTGGGTGGCTCGCCTCAGTCCGCGAGGGCAAGGCTCCCTCCCACAAGAGCCCTGTGCTCCTAGGAAGCGGCAGACACGTGGGTTACACTGAAGCCGTTTCGAAAGCAAACACAGTCCAAAAGACACTCACTCCCTGTTGCACCCCTTCCAGAAGGGCAGGGAACGGGGCCGGACTCTGCCATCCCACTGAATCCAAACACACACCCCCCCTCGCCATCTTGCCAGGGCTTGGACGACCACACAGGGTGGTGGCTGGTTCACGGAAGAAAACCTGCAGAGCAGAGTGTCACTACTACTAGTATTACGTTTGTATGTGATCCTCTTTCCAAGCACGGCAGAGACAAGACCTCTGCGGCCTTGGAATCTTGGCCTTTGTTCTGCTCTGAAGACGAGTGGAGTCCCGCCTTGGACAAAGATCCGCCTGGCAGGGAGGGTGGGCCACCCCCACCCCCACCTGCCCCAGGACGAACCAGTGGGAGCAGTAGCCTGCCCACCTGCGGGCCCTGAGGTCTCACGGGGCCTTTTGATC